TTTCTCAACAGTTATTCTCAGGCAACGATGATAAATGCAGATAATATGTTACCTTTGTATGGTGCTTTTCTGTTTAAAAAGCACTTTCACACACATTATCAATTCATGGTTTTTTTGTTTGTTTTCACTGTATTAAATATGTATTACCTACTTAACCTACAATCAAGCATACACTTTCATGATTTAGGCAAAACTTAATTGCTAGAGGAATAACATTTAAATTTGTAATGTAAATTGAAATTGGTTTGAAATGCCACGCATGAAGTTTTTTTGGCCTTTACAATGAAAAAAATAAATAAGAGTTTTGTCTTAAAACTTAAACCCTAGAGTTTTGTCCTAAATTCTAAGACCTTTCTTTTCCTATTGTTTGTTTCCACTAGCACCTCAATGGAATTGACTAGACCTCATAATGGGTAACAGTGGCAACTTGACTGATTGAAAGGAAAGACAGAGTGTGCATCAACAGGGGTCTTGGTTTAGCATATGACTCCAGAGATACCTGATTACCAACAATCTCCATGTAATATTTTCAGATGCTCCCTAAACAACCAGGTAGCTTTCAGATTAATGATCAGCAAAGTTCAATGAATTCAATATGATCTTTTTTGAGTAGCTGAGCTATCTGCGTTTGTAGTTGTTGCTGTTTTAAATTCTAGCAATGTTCTTACTGGAGTAACAAATGACAGATTTAGTGAATAGAAGGGACTCATGCCTATCTATGATCTTCACATATTTCTTAATCTACGGCTTTTCAGAGTGAAAATATCTCTAGGAGCTTCCCAAAAACTAAACCATTCCTCACAATGACCAGATCCCTTTTGGATACATCCAAGATTTGACTTTGTGGGAGCAAATGGGGATGATGTCCAGGGACCAGTGCTGGACCCCTCCTAGGCTGTTTCATCCCCTGAAGATTCTAGAACAAGAATCACCAGCCATTTCTATTTTGCAAAAGGGATCTCATGAGGAGTAAATAATGAGATATGACTGTGAAAAACATGCACAAAATCTGTTAGAATATGACAGAGAGCATCTACTGCCCTGTATGAAAGTGGTTGTAGGTTCATTTTTATCTTCGTGTGTATTGTTCCGCATGTAAAGAGGTGAAGTTCCAGAGGAATAAGGATGGACAAGTACTGGGGTTGGTGTGAGGTAGAGAAAGAAAATAGCTTTCAAATGTTTTCTTTCTAAAAAGTTAAGTATCATCTCCCTGATGTATGAATTTTATTTAGGATGATGATTTAAAATGTAAATTAAGGTATTTTTATATTGTTGGCTGATTTTTTAACACCCTCTTGAATGTTTGTATAAGGTGTGACATTTGAAAGGTAAAAATCCATGCATGTTATCAGATCAGATTACTATAATTCCTATAGAATGAGAACAAGCTGCAGAGGTCAGCCCTGACTTTCAAAAACAAGGGGCACCTGACTTTCTGGTACTGCCAACTTCAGAAGGGTAGCTATGGGGCTTAAATGAGATGGTATATATATGACACTTATAGAAGTACCTGGCTCGGGAGGGGAACGACACACACTGGAGCCTGTGGGGGGTGGGGACAGAGAAAGCATCAGGATAAATAGCTAACGCGTGCTCTACTTAATACCTAGGTGACGGGTTGATAGATGCAGCAAACCACCATGACACACGTTTACCACGTAACGAACCTGCATGTCCTGCACATGTATTCCAGAACTTAAACAAGAGAGTACCTGGCTCATAGTGAATGCTCAGAAAATGTTAACCATCATCACCAGAGTTAGGAAATTATTATGTGACACATGGATCTCCACACTGAATGAATGGGAATGAAGAAAGAAAATGAACATTTACTGAATATTTACTGGGGCCAGATTTTTCACGTTTTGACTCTCTTCATCCTCACCCAACTCTGCAACATTATTGTAGATGGTTGTTTAGGGTTCTGCAGCAAATTAGTGGCTGAGCCAGAATGTACTGCCCATGCTATGTTAAGCAGATTTGATCAATGTTTCAGAGGAACATTTTATTGTGAACTAATTATGCCATGCACTCCATGAGGTGAGACCACATGCATAGGCTCGAATTGCACTGGGCAGCTAATCTACCGCCTCATTAAGCTGTCTCCAAATGAATGAAAGAACAGATTAAAGCGTAACAGGAAAATGACTTATGTTTATTTATGCACATCAATCCAGAAGGGGAAAAAGATCTTCATGCAGGGAAAATCTTCTAAGGAAGACTTCCCACTCTGGAAAAATTATTAGGTATAGGTGTCTTTGCTATCCTCCACTCTTTTCTTCAATGCCTAATACCTCCTAGTACACTAACATCCTCAATACATTTATTCATAAAGTCCCTTTCACTCACAAAGTATTAACTAAAGTGGGTCGGGTGCAGTGGCTCACACTTGTAATCCCAGCATTTTGAGAGGCTGAAGTGGGCAGATCACTTGAGGTCAGGAGTTTGAGACCAGCCTGGCCTGTTTAACATGGTAAAACCTTGACTCTACTGATACTTCAAAAATTAGCTGGGTGTGGTGCACACTTGTAATCCCAGCTACTTGGAGGCTGAGGCAGGAGAATCACTTGAACCCAGGAGGTGGAGGTTGCAATGAGCTGAGATTGCACCACTGCACTCTAGCCTGGGTGACAGAGCAAGACTGTCTAAAACAAAAAGAAGTTTCTTAAGGTAGTAATCCTTTCAGCACTAGATGCATTTTAAATCAGGATTTTGAGTGACATAAAATCTTTAAGACTCTAAAGGAGGTAAGAAATCTGTAATGGTGGAATTCTCCGTGTTATAAGATAGTAAGGGAGGATTTGCAAACAGGATATTGTCCTAGACCTTTCAAAATATACCAGATTATTCTACCTTTGAGACAACTAAGGGAACTGGGCTTTTAAAAACATCAATTTCTTGACCTATTTACTTTATGAACTATTTCTCATAGCCCTGTGCTATCAAAAACTGGTTTTCTTTTACTGCCATATGTACCACCTTTTTTTTTTTTTTTTTTTTTTAGATGGAGTCTCGCTCTGTCGCCCAGGCTGGAGTACAGTAGTGTGATCTCAGCTCACTGCAAGCTCCGCCTCCTGTGTTCACACCATTCTCCTGCCTCAGCCTCCCGAGTAGCTGGGACTACAAGCGCCTGCCACCAGGTCCAGCTAATTTTTTTTTTTTTTTTTGTATTTTTAGTAGAGACGGGGTTTCACCCCGTGTTAGCCAGGATGGTTTCGATCTCCTGACTTGTGATCCACCCGCCTCGGCCTCCTGATATGTACTTCCTCTTTTAAAGATACTCATTAAAAAAAAAAAAAAAAAAAAAGACCAGGCGCTGTGGCTCAAGCCTGTAATCCCAGCACTTTGGGAGGCTGAGACGGAAGGATCACTAGGTCAGGAGATCGAGACCATCCTGGCTAACACAGTGAAACCCCGTCTCTACTAAAAAAAATACAAAAAACTAGCCGGGCGTGGTAGCGGGCGCCTGTAGTCCCAGCTACTCCGGAGGCTGAGGCAGGAGAATGGCGTGAACCCAGGAGGCGGAGCTTGCAGTGAGCTGAGATCCGGCCACTGCACTCCAGCCTGGGCCACACAGCAAGACTCCGTCTCAAAAAAAAAAAAAAAATTTAAACATATGTTGCTTTCATCTGTACTTATTTGGCCCAGTGGGGTCAATAGAGAATAGAACATTTCTCCTTAGGTAACTGCTATGGTCTGAATATGTTGTCCCAAAATTCATATGACGAAGTTTATTTGCCTCCAGAGGACACATCAACAAGGCACCATCTTGGACACACACAGACGTGGATGTCACTAGACTCTGAATCTGCTGGTGCCTTGATCTTGGACTTCCCAGTCTCCAGAATGGTGGGAATAAATTTCTGTTCTTTATAAATTACCCAGTCTCAGGTATTTTGTTACAGCAACAAAAATGAATGAAGATAGTAACTAATAATTACATATTTGGGGCTCTAGATTTTCTTCCTAATGTGAAATATTTAGGTAAATTATCCTGCATTCCTGTAAGCCTATTGCTCTGTGCACAGGAAATAGTTCATTTTCAGTTTCCATGAGTGCTCTACTCTCTGCCTTCTCCTCACCCCAGCCTCACCAAAATCTTCCTGATAACAATCACTCCACATCTTTGGTTTGTTCAAAATCTCCTTTTCCTACCCAGTGTTGTATTTTGTCTATAGTAGATACTCTCCACAAACTGTTTTGTTACTATTTCAGAAATTTGAAACATTAAAAGATATGTCTTTTAATCCTCAAAAAATACATAAATTTAAAATGGTAGCAGGTAGGTCTTTTAAGGAGGAAAACCATTGCTGTGATTCAGGAACATTTAGGAATATTAACTCTGGGCACACGATAAAAAAGTAGGGTCTGTTAAAAGTCATTACAAGACGCTTGGTGTGGTGATTTACACCTGTGATCCCAGCACTTTGGGAGGCCACGGTGGGAGGATTGCTTGATCCCAGGCTTTCAAGACCAGCCTGGGCAACATAGCAAGATCCCATCTCCAAAAAAAAAAAGCTAGGTGTGGTGGTAGATGCCTGTAGTCCCAGCTACTTGGTAGGCTGAGGTGGGAAGACTGCTTAAGCTCAGGAGGTCAAAAGCTGCAGTGAGCTGTGATCATGCCACTGTGCCCCAGCCTGGGTGACAGAGTAAGACCCTGTCTCAAAAATTACCATCGTAACAGTATTAAGAGGTGGGGCCTTTAAGAGGTGGTTAGGTCACGAGGGCTCTGCCCTCATGGATGGAAATAATGCCACTATGAAAGGGTAATTTCAATCCCCTTTTGACTCTTTGCCCTTCCTCCTCTGTTGCAGCAAGAAGGCCCTTGTCAGATGTTGGCACCTTGATCCTGAACTTCCCAATCTCTAGAACTCTGAGAAAATACATTTATGTTCATCATAAGTTACCCAGACTGTGATATTCTGTTACAGCAGCACAAAATGAACCGAGAAAATAAGCCAAGTTTTAATATAACAATAAATGTTAGATGGTAAGTTTACCAGAATTCTGGAAATCCATGAAGCAGCAGCATAAGTGGTTTGCCTCTTTCTCCAGCAGCAACATAGTGAAATCTTAACCCTGAATCCTGAAAGTAGAGGGCATGGAATTTTACTGATGTTTGTGTTGATTGACAAAGAAATATATTTAGCATTTCCACTTCATTAAAAAATAATAACTTGCCTTATTTTTTTACATTTGTGTATTTACAATATCTTCATGACACTCAGTTGCCTTATTTTTAACATCAAGAAATAAATTTACTTTCATTAATTTTCAAAAAGAAGAGCAAACCCCATGCCCTATTAATAGGGTAAATTGACAGATTCACTTTGTCAACACTCCCTTGACAGTGTCTTCTCTTCTTGTTCTAGTACAAGGTCAATTTATATATTATGAGCTTCTGAAGCAATGTCACAATTTGTAACTTTCATCTTACCGTTTGTAACTTGCATGTTACTGATGTGTCACATTTCATCTCCGTCAAATGCTGCAGGACATGTAAATAATTCTAATCTGAATTTATATTTCTGCCATGTTTACATCCTAGTCATCTACTTTTCTCAGCTTGCCCGTCAAGAGCTGTGCAATCAGTTATATAATTCACACCTCCTTCTCTTATTTTTAGGTCTCTCCTTCCCACATTATTATTTTGAGTGTTGCATGTTCTGTTCCCCTTGCTGCCTGCTCATGTCATGTCAGTGTGCGTTTCTAATAACAGAATGCCCTGAGTGCTCAAGACTTCACTCTGCATGTGGGAGACAAGAAAACCCAAGGAAAATTTAAAAAACATGGGAATGAGACAGGAATTCAAGCAAATACTGAGCAAGCTGAATGGAGGAAAGTAGAGGGAACAGCAGGAAAATAAAAAACTCTGAAAGCAAGCAAGCTAGGAAACAAAAAGAACCAAAAGCTGAACACAGACATTGGGTTTTTATATCAGGCAACTCAAGCAACTGAGTTTTCAGATGTGAAAGAATCATTTTGCAAATTCAGAAGATGAGGCCCAAAGATGGTAACATGGGTCATAAAATGGTTGACAGCAGGGCTGTGATCAAAATCTCCATCTTGTCCTAACTCCCAGGACAATGTTCTTTCCACTTCTTCGTTCTCTGTCTCTGGGGAAGCTCTTTAGGTGGCCAGGGCGAGGGGAAAGGTGTTTTATGGAATTCCAAATGGTTCTTATACTACTTTTACTCCTCAAGTTGGACAGAGATAACAAAATCTGACTTTACCCTCAGTTGCACGATGGCTTCCTAGAGGTTCAATAACTTCTTTTATTGGTGGTGAGTCTTGGAGGATTAAATGTTGTGGGCACTGGATTGGATTTAATTAACATATACTTTATTGCACTGACTATGCATCAGGCATTGTTTTAAGTTTTTCATGTTTGTTTTTATAAATATTAACCTATTTAATTCTCATGTCGACCCCAGGCAAGAAAGAAGTTCTCTTGCCTTTCTGAACTTCAGCTACGGGGCAATTTAACTCCTAACAGGAAATAAGGACTTGATGACATAAATATCCCCTCTTATGAGGCTGGGTTTGAAAGGCCTGTGAGTCAGACTGCAGGGTGTATCACGGGAACTATTTCCCTTCACCACCTGGAGCACCAGGAAACAGAATATCTGTGGGCTGTGAGGAAGCTTGAACAATTATAGTCTGCAGGAAAGGCTGGATTTACTTTTTATTCCATTCCTTTCTTTGGTCCCTGACTTCATAAGTCTGCATTCCTCCCCACAAACACACACAATTTACCTATTGTTTCATGCAACCTAAGTCGTCTGTGATCATAATAAACTCATGACTCCCAAAGGCTGACTGTTTACTCTTATTATCTCTAAAATTGGGCACGAACAGGCTCCTGAGACATTAGGATGCCACGAGGAACAATTCTCTACAGCCGATCTGAGCTCTAAAGGGCAAAAGGGTGACAGGAGACAGCTTTCCCTTGCGGTCGGAAAAAGAGCAGGTTTATTCTGGGTTGTTGTGGCGCGGGGCGTCGGGGGTTGGGGGAGGGCGTAATATAATAGGACCCTGATTAAAGAAGTTCCACATTCAGAAACCAATCAAGGTGCCTGCAAAGACCGAGTGCTGTTTATCAGCATCCTTCTCTTTCTCTCTCTCTCTCTCTCTCTCTCTCTCTCTCTCTCTCTCTCTCTCTCACACACACACACACACACACACACACACACACACACACACACGACACGCAGGGACGCGACCCCTCCTCCCCTCCTGCTCGGACACTAGGGGACGCTGAGCTGGCGTCTTGGAAGGAGCAGCCCGGCGCCCCCCGCCCTCGCGGCGGTCACGCTCCCTCCCACTCCCGCCAGGCCCGCGCCGCCCTTCACCTTGATCCGCACGTAGCAGTGGGTGCCCAAGGAGGGGTCGCTCAGGCACGCGGGAGGGTGCTCCCGGGGGGACCGCCGGAAGGTCTGCGCCGGCCCCTTGCCGAGGCTCCACAAAAGTTTGAGCAGGTGGATGGAGGCGCAGAGCCCGCAGTAGCAGTAGACCAGGGACCAGAAGAGCAGGGACCGGAGCGTGAGCATCAGGCGGGGCAGGCAATCCCGCAGCCTCGCCATCGGGAGGCAGCGGCGGGGCCCGCTGCCCTTCCTCCGGAGCCGGTGAGCGAGTGCCGCGGCGCGCCAGGCCAGCCCGCCGTCGCCGCTTGGTGCGCGCCTCCCCCGGCCCGGGGCGGCCGGCGTTCCGTGTCACCGCGGCGGCTCCGCACACGCGCCGCGCCCAGCCCGGAGCGCGCAGGGGAAAGCCGGGCCTGCGGGGTGCGGCGGGCCAGGCCGGGGTGAAGAGCTCGGCCGTCTTCCGCGGAGAGCGAGATCCGGTTTCAAAATTGCAAAACTGTGGGGGAGGACGAAGGCGATACTCTCCAAACCATCCCGGGCACCAAGGAAGGAAGCGCCACTCGTTCTCTTTGTTGTTCTCAATGTATCAAGCAAAACTAGTTTTAAGCCCACATATTCGTGTGTCATAGTTCAGGGACACAGGTCAGCGACAAACTTCTATGCTGTTACACCCAAATAGATTCTTCAGAGTGCAAAATCACTCTGCACTGTGAAAGATAGCAGGCTTCCTTTTCTCCTCAAAATCTTTCATGGAATCATAATTTCTGTAGAAATCCGCCTATTCCTTGCCTGGTTCACCCACAGCAAACTTACAGAGAGCTGCAACCCCGGGGATACAATGAATGCTCCAAAACGTGAGGCGGCAGAAGCCTGGCCAGAAGGCCACACACCTGAGAGTTCGTGGAAGGGCTGGAAGCCGTGAGAGTGGCAGTCCTCGGTAGATATCTCAGCCTCAGCACCGACGTGACCACTCTTGTCCTGACCTCCTCTATCGTCCAGCTCACTGTTAGAATTTCATTAAGCCTTTTCCCGATCACTGGGTCAGGTGTTAAGTGTTCATTTTCTGTGAGAAGCTGTCAAACTGGTTTACAAAGTGGCTGTACAATTTTGAATTTACTTCAGCATATGTGAGTTATACAATTGACCTTTGAACAATGTGGGGGGTTAGGGTTGCTGACCCCTTTCACATCTGAAAATCCATGTATAACTTTTGAGTTCCCCCAAACTTAAGTACTAATAGCCTACTACTGACCAAAACAATTAACACATATGTTTATGTATTATATACCATATCTTTATAATAAAGAAAAATGTTAAAATCATAAGATAAAATACATTTACTATTCATTAAGTGGAAGTGGATTATCTTAAGAGTGTTCATCCTTGTCATCATCAGGGTAGGTAGGCTGAGGAGGAGAAAGAAGAGACGAGGTTGATCTTCCTGTCTTGGGGTGATGGGGAGGGAAGAGGTGGAAGAAAATCCATGTTTAAGTGAACCTACACAGTTCAAACCCATGTTGTTTGAAGATTAACTGTATTTTGCTCTCTTTCTAGGGTCTTGAGTTAGGAACTTATTGAGACCTTTGCTATTTCTCATGTAATCATTTAGCACCTATAAATTTCTCTCAGTACTCTGTTGTTGTTGTTGTTGTTTGAGACGGAGTCTCACTGTCGCCCAGACTGGAGTGCAGTGGCGCGATCTCGATCTCGGCTCACTGCAAGCTCCGCCTCCCTGGTTCAGGCCATTCTCCTGCCTCAGCCTCCCAAGCAGCTGGGACTACAGGTGCCCGCCACCACGCCCTGCTAAGTTTTTTGTATTTTTGGTAGAGACGGGGTTTTACCGTGTTAGCGAGGTTAGCTCGTGATCTGCCCTCCTCGGCCTCCCAAAGTGCTGGGACTACAGGCGTAAGCCACTGTGCCTGGCCTCTCTCAGTACCCTTTAACCACATTACATATATGTTGATATGTTGTATTTTGCCATTCGTTACGCATTTTTTAAAATGTCCTGTTTTAGGTTGGGTGCTGTGGCTTACGCCTATAATCCCAGCACTTTGGGAGGCTGAGGCAGGAGGATCGCTTGAACTCAGCAATTCAAGACCAGCGTGGGCAACATGGCAAAACCCTGTCTCTACAAAAAAATAGAGAAATTAGTCAGGTATGGTGGCACACGCCTGTAGTCCCAGCTACTTGGGAGGCTGAGGTGGGAGGATCACCTTAGCCCTGGAAGGTTGAGGCTGCAGTGAGCCAAAATCATGCCACTGCACTCTAGCCTGGGTTACAGAGTGAGATTATGTTTCAAAAAACAAAAAACAAGGCCGGGGGTGGTGGCTCACACCTGTAATCCCAGCACTTTGGGAGGCTGAGGTGGGCAGATCACCTGAGGTCAGGAGTTTGGGACCAGCCTGGCCAATATGGTGAAACCCCATTTCTACTAAAAATACAAAAAAAATTAGCCAGGCATGGTAGTGCATGCCTGTAGTCCAAGCTACTTGGGAGGCTGAGGCATGAGAATTGCTTCAACCCGGGAGGCAGAGATTGCAGTGAGCTGAGATCACACCATTGCAGTTAAGCCTGGGTGACAAAGGGAGACTCCGCCTCAAAAAATAAACAGAAACAAAGATTCTTGTCTTCCTCCTTGCCCCATTATATGTTTTTAATGTGCTTAGCAATTTTTCTATTATTATTTTCAGTCCTCCAAAGTCTTAACTCATAACACGTTAAATTTTCAAGAGATAGAGGTCTTGCTATGTTGATCAGGCTGGTCTTGAACTCCTGGCCTCAAGCAGTCCTCCCACTTAGGCTCCCAAAGTGCTGAGACTACAAGCATGAGGTACTGTGCCTGGCAGTCTATTATTGACTTGTATCTGATTCTATTATGGCCCAAGAACATACTCCACATGACCTCTATTCTTTTAAGTTTGCTTTATAATCTGGGATATGGTCTATCTTGGTGAATGTTACATGGTTGTTTAAAAAAAAAAAAAAGTGTGGATGGAGTGTTCTACCTTTGTCTGCTAGATTATGTTGGCTGCTTGTGTCTTACCTTTTTTTTTCTTTTTCTTTTTTTCAAGAGACAGGGTCTCACTTTGTTACCCAGGATGGAGTGCAGTGGCTATTCACAGGTGCAGTCATTAAGCACACTGCAGCCTCAGACTCCTGGGCTTAAATGACCATCCTTCCTCAGCCTCCCACATAGCTGGGATTACAGGTGCATTCCACCACACCCAGCTTATGTCAACTTTTAAATAAGAGAATTCCTGTTAAATTCATTCACATCAAATAAGTTCCTCAATTTATAGATCACAATACCAAAATCTTATGAAGATTAAAAAACAATATAGAAATTTCTTGAATGAAAATAGTTTCAATAATTATATTAGAAATTGAATCTACCAGTATATAAAATGAATAATACAACTATGGAGGTTTTATTTCAGGAAAGAATGGTCCAACATCAAGAAATCTATAAACATACTATATCAACATTTGTAGAAGGAAAACCACATATCAACAAATGCCAATAAAGGCATGTGGCAAAATTCAGCAACTATTCCTTAAAAGCTAACTTAATCCAGGTAGCAAGAAACTGCTTAAACATTACCATTACCAGAAAACAGTAACCTATAGTGAAATCCTCTATTTTAGAGTTGGGAGTAAGAAAGAATGATTGCTATTAGCTCTATTATTTAACATTATTTTTGGAAATTCAAGCTAAGGAAATAACCCAAAAAGAACCAAATAAATTTTTTAAATTACATAAAAATTGGAAAAGAGGCAAAAATATAGCTATTTGCAGATTATATTTTTTTAAACCTTAAAAAATTAATAGAATAAAATTTGGTAAGGTGTCTAGATACAAGGTAAGTATACAAAAGTCAATAGTTTTTCCATATCCTAGCATTAACCAATTAGAAATTGAAACTACATTCATGAGATTGCAGGAGAGCTCAACATTGTATCATTCCCCCATATTATTAATTTTTGATAATATTCCACTGTGAGATTATGAGTTTATTCATTCTTGTATTAACAGCATTTGGGTTGGTCCTGTCTTTCTTTCCCTCTCCCTCCTTCCCTATTACGATCCTTGCAAATGTTTTGTATATTCTTGTACATGTCTCCTTAGTCTGTTTTGTAATAGCTTCTCTAGGTTATATACTTTGAGCGAATTGCAGTTATGACTACAGAATTATTTGTATTAGTCTACTCTCTCATTGCTATAAAGAAAACCTGAGACTGTGTAACTTATAAAGAAAAGAGATTTAATTGGCTCATGGTCCTGCAGGTTTTATAGAAAGCATAGCAGCTCCTGCTTTTGGGGAGTCCCCAGAGAGCTTCCCATCATGGCAGAAGGCAAAGCAGGGGGGTAAGGTGGCAGAAGCAGGAGCAAGAGACAGAAGAGGGAGGTGCCACACATTTTTAAACAACAAAGATCTTATGAGAACTCTCACTATACAGTACTAAGAGGGGATGATGCTTCATGAATAGTTATTCCTGAAGACTCCAACACCGTGATCAAATCACCTTCTACCAAGTTCCACCTCCAGCATTGGGAATTACATTTCAACATGAGATTTAGGTGGGGATGCATATCCAAACCATAGCACTATTCAATTTTACAAAATAATGTTAAATTGTTTTCAAAAAAAATTTTTTTTTAACCTTTCTCTGTCTTCTAGGCTAGAGTGCAATGGCATGATCATGGCTCAACTGCCATCTTGAACTCCTGGCCTCAAGTGATCCTCCTGCCTTGGCCTCCCAAAGTATTGGGATTACAGGCATGAGCCACTGCACTCAGCCAATGTTATTATATTTATACTCCTGACCACTAGTATAAGTTCTGAAGTAAAATGACTATGTGTGGCAGGAATTACCAATACCCACAAGTTGCTCCAAATGTCTCAGGCTTAGTCAGGTGTGGCCAAGTGATTGGGTTCTGGCCAGAGGGATATGAGTGCAAGAGGTTTAAGTTTCTCCCAAGTTTGGGCATTAAAAACACTCTAGGCTGGCGTGGTAGCTCATGCCTGTAATCCCAGCACTTTGAAAGGCTGAGGCGGGCAGATAGATCACTTGAGCCCAGGAATTCGAGATCAGCCTGGGCAGCATGAGCCACTATGCCTAGCAAAAAAGTTTTTAAACCATACAAATTTAGAATCCTATCAGCACACACTTTGCTGTGACATAGTTCAGACACAAATAGGGTACAAAAAATATGCTAACATATATAAACTTTGTTAATGAAAAAAAACAGAAACAGGTATGATTGAGATACATTTTAGTCACTGATAACTAGTTGTGCCCTGAGGGACACTATCAAGAGAAACTGCTGCAGAGAAAAGCTATATATAGATATACAACAAGAAAATAAGCTGCAAGATTAATACATGCATGTTTAATACTGGAAAAAAATCACAACCCTCCAAAGTTTCTCCATATTTCAAGTCGACAGTTATTTTTCTCTCAAAACTTTGAGGATTTAATTATACTGTTTCTGGT